GGTCGGAATAATTTATAGGCTGTGGGAGAAACCATTTTTCCTAAGTAAAAAGATAAGGGGATCGAGTGGCTGAATGTTTATTTTAAATCAAAAGTTTTACCAGAAACTGATCCTTTCTGGTTAGCCTTCTGGCTAACAACAGGAACAAGGGAGAAAAAAAAAAAAAAAAAAAAGAACAGTTACAGTTGAGTATTTCAGATCTAGACCATATTGTAGAAGGTCAACTTTGATTTTGAATTAAATTGCTATTTATCAAGAATTTGTATCAAAAAGTAGAATTAGAATTTAGGTTTTGCATATTTGCTTTTCATGGGGTGATTTTGGGATATCAGTGTACTTGATAGAATTTGCATCTTTTTTTTTTTTCTATGCTTCTCCTTGGCCAGAGCTGTTATGCAATCAGGGTAGACTATCTGACTCAGCAGAAGTTATATATTGTTAGAGTACAGAAGTACTCTACAGAAGTGCTACAGCAACCCACTTTAGGATGCAATAATGATGATTTCCTTGATTTCCTTAATGTATTAGACAGTAAATTGCAATACATCCTAACTAGAAAAACCATTCATATTACATGGACATTCAAAAACTCAACAAATGTCCCACAGTTAGTCATTTCTTTTAATTAGTCAGACCTCCCAGTTTCCCAAGAGATGAAAAAAAATAAAATAAAAATGTCTTTTTTTCACCCTGTTCACCATCCCCACTCCACGCATGGTTCTAGTGAATCAGAAAAAGAAAATCATACAGCCATTCTGTTTATCTGATTGTAGTAAGTAATCCCTTTGTTAATTACTGTTTTCATTTCTATCACTAGGAGCTGTTCTGTTACTGTTTTCTTCCTTAAATAATAGCTTTTGATGAACTGAATTGAAAACCTGAATAGGAAAACATGGACTTGAAATGCTCAAAATGCAGATTACATTTTGTTCAGTCCTCCTCTCAGTCTCTCACTGGGCTTCAATTCATAACATAAATGAAGTTCTAAGCCATTATAGATGTAGATACTAATCACCTTGAGATTTGGGCTGGAATCTGATGACATCTTTTGTGTATATGTACCGTTATTTCCAGGCTTCTTGTTCAACAATAATTTTATAAGAGAAATAGTATTTTTTTTTTCTAGCTGCCTAAAATAAAGTACTTATTGTATTATCTAGAACTATATTCAACACATATCTGTACAGCACAAATGTTATTTTTTTCCCCGATAAAAAACATATGCTAGTGTGCCTGAGTATGCTATTACTTTAGAATGTGTATTGCATATCTGGGAAGGTATTTCTCTGGATTCCTTTTTGTTTACCACAACTGGAAGCAGTCAAAGGCTACCAATCTATAGCATTGAAATTATCCTATTTCAGCAAAGGTATTGTTCCTCTTTTTTAAAAGTTGTTATAATGCATCCTACAATGTGACTCATATATATACTAACGGTTTAAAGTAGTGATTTTGTCAGATATTATCAATAAGGAAAAACTAATAATCTGACTTTTTAAAAATCTTTGTAGTGTCTAATTTCCTTAAACTAGAAAATCATAGTTATAATTCTTTATAAGAAATTGTGTCATCCCAGGGTAATTGAATAAGGGCAATTGAATAAGGGAAGCTCCTGTCATATATTGTTACTATGAATTTGCACTATGTATTTACTATGTATTTGCACTAGTTGCAAGTAGTTTCAAAAGTTTGGGAATCACCATCAAATTATTTTTAGCCTTGACTTTCTTTGTTGTTGTTTTGTGTCTGGGTAAGATTTTTTATGTCAAAATAAATCTAACATGCACAAGATATAGCTGAAATACAAGAGTAATAAAACTAAGGTGATAATACATAGTTTATATGTTGTCTTACTTTTTTTTTTTAAAGGAAACAAATTGACATGAGTAATACTGCAAGATGTAAATGGACTCTGTTTCTTTAGATATTTACAATCATGTTTTCAAGTTCCAACCCTTTTCATCGGTATTTTAGAAACTTTACGTCTTTAGTGCACTGTTCTCTACACAGACCATTTTTGTTTTATCTTATTAAGACAATTTCTGTTCATTCTAGTGGACTCCCATCCACTAGAATGGGAACAAGTCCTCTCCCCTCCTCTCCCCCCCCCCCCCTTTTTTTTTAGTGCTAATAATGGTTGTAATTCTTGTAACTGTAATGACAATTTGGTTTAATGTTGTGACTTTTAAGATTTTGCATCTCTGAGGTACTGTGTGACTTTTGAGCATTCTGATGTTTCTCTTCACTGCAGCAGGAGATGACGATTCTAACACAAATGTGTTGTGTTTATTTCCACTGTAATTCATGTTTACTTTTCAGTATTAAAACAGGCTGTTCTAGGCAAGGAAAATTTCATTTTTGAAAAGAGAAGGAGCACATCACCTCTCTGCTAACGCAATTACCATTTCTGACAGTTTTATTTCCATATTAGTGCATCTTACTCCAGTGAGATGTCTCTTCTCCAGAGGAGAACACTTTATGATGTTCTAAGCATCTTAGCTGGCATAAAAATGGTACAGCAGGGCTAAAATTGTTGCTCAAAATGCTACAAAAGACTGCAGTTCACAGTAGGACACTGCATAAATGAACTGTTATTTACATGTAATAATTTTCTTGGCTCTGACTTCAAGTTTTGTAACAGAAAAAACATCCATGATACCTATTCCAAAGTGGATGTTAGTCTCTAATCTCTAATCTGAATTTGTACTATGAAAACTGCAGATTTTTTTTTTGTCTGCGCTAAGTGTTAATTTCTGGAAGCAGCATTGAAAAAAGAGCTTCCCAAGAAATCTTGTAAGCTAGCTTTCCTTTTTTAATTAAAATAACCAGCAAATGAGCTTTTTATTCTTCATGTATAAGCAGCCTAATTGCAGAACTACTGCAGCAGTTGCACTAGGCAAGGTAAAGTAAGGCCACAGAGGTGTCAAATGTTCATGCTACATAAAGAACTAATCTGTAATTGGAAAAATTAAAGAACTGGTTAATACAATCTCATTTTACTATATCAGAACTACATAAAAAAATGTATTTGATATTGATTTTTCTTTTGAAATGTTAGGCATCAAAATATTTCAGACTATTTTATTTCAGGTTTCCCAGACCTGATCAAATGAACTTGGCATGAACTGGCAAGATATTTTCATTGATCCTAATTTTAACTTTTTATCATGCTCCATTTGTGAGCTGTGTGCCCTTCTGTTTGACCTGTGAAGATGTCTGTTGGAAAGGCATGAACAGACATTGCTGTGAGATCAGTTCATCTCTCTCGCGATGGGGAATGGCAGATATAGCTATACCAGAGAACTATAAAGTTTGTTTTAAGGAAAGAATTCATTATTGACCTATTACAAATCATCACATATAGTCTATTCAGAGACATTTTGCAAATTTCTTAGTAAATAAAAGATTTGCAAGAATGATGAATAAAAAGCTGAACTCCTTAATTTACAGAGGATCATATCTCCATGGCTGAGCTTTTTTCCTTTCATTATGTCCCTTTTTGACCTAAAAATGTTTTCAACATTAGACCATTTTCAAATAAGTCAAAAGTCAGAGGGGGGTTTCTTGTTCTGTCTTGTTGAAAGTAGCCTACTATTTTTTTCTCTGAAAGTTATTATTGCCATAGTGTAGATATTTCAGAGGCCATATAATTAAATTTGATTTTTTTTTTTTTTAATTAACTCTTACAACAAATCCTGATTATACCACAGGACTCACTGGACAAGATAATTAAGAAGGTTTTTTTTTGGTTGTCATTCAGCTGGGCATAATTGTTTCTGTCAGGACACAATAGACCTAAGATGATAACTTTTCATTTCAGCTGAAGAAGTTATGACCTCTGGCTAGAACAATACAAAATTAAACAAAACAAAATACATGCTGTAAATGACAGATTCAGTGTACAGAGAGTTGATTCATGACACTACATAAGCATAGAAACAAAATCCTAGACACTGTTATTTTAGAAAAACAAAGATCCAACATTTCTGATGTAAGCTGATTTTGACAGTTATCTGTTAACGGTCATAACTTTTAATGGTGCCTTTTAATGTAAGTATACAGGAAATTTGTGTTTAAAAAAAAAAAAAAAAAAAAAAAGTATTCAACTCTCTTTTGTGCACCATACAAGTTCCCTAGCCAACGAAAGGAGATCTCAGCTGTCAGCCGTCCTTATTCTGAATTATGTAAAGGCAGCAGCACTCAGGCACAGGTCTAAGGTTAAGTGTTTGGTGGATCACGTGACAAAAGAAAATGATGTTACATTCTTTCTCTGGGATTTCTTAATTGCATATCCTCTTCCTGTGATATTCATTTCAATTCTGTGCTATGTAGCAAGGTCTGAATTCCTTGTTTTTTACTATCAAGAACAGTGTTTTCTTCCTCCTGCAAACTCATTCACAGAGTCTATTTTGCAGTATTTACTGAGCAGATAATGAAATATGGAAAATACCAAATTCTTTCTAACAAGAGAATAATGCTCATCCATTTTGTATTTCAGTCATATCACTAAATATCTTTTCCAAAGTAGGTTGTGTCAAAATGTTCTAGAAGTAGTTCAATTAATTACATGTAATTAATGTTAATTACATCTAACAATTAGGAAAGAAAGTATGAATTAGATGTATAGGAAAATGATTAAATTCATAATAAAAGCATTTTGTCATGGAATTATAGAATGCTTGGGGTTGGAAGGGACCTTAAAGGCGATCTAGTTCCAAAACCTCTACCATGGGCTTCCAAAACACTTCCCACTAGACCAGGTTGCTCAAAGTCCCCTCCAGCCTGACCTTGAACGCTGCCAGGGATGGGGTATCCAAAGCTTCTCTGGACAACCTGTTCCTGTGCCTCACCACCCTCAGGGTAAAGAATTTCTTCCTTATACCTAACTTAAATCTACCCTCTTTTAGTTTAAAGCCATTACCCTTTGTCCTTTGAAGTGCACCTTGATGATTTATGCTATTTGTATCCTTATAGTGTTCAAAATGTTCTTTTCCTTTAAGGTTTTTATGACACACCCTGTGGATCTACATTTCACAGAATCAGAGAATTTCTTTCATCTTCTTTTCAAGAGAAAAGCATGTGGACCCTCAACCTTTTAATAAGGTATTAAAACTGTGTATTTATAATATTTGTTTCATTTACTCTGTGTTTTATTCAGGTGAGACAAAATGTGGAGTAGATAGGGACAGTGTTTTGAGTAAAAAAGATTAAGTTTGTTGAGGTTCTGAAGGAATTTATTCCATAGTTCAGACCACCAAAAAATCTTGTACATCTTTACTTCTCTTTTGCAGTAGAGAGTCTCAGCATGATAAAGAAGTAAAGGGCTTCCTCCTGGTGCTTTGCTAAATTTTTGACTTGTCCTGAGACAAAACATAGAGATTCCCAAAAGGAATTAAAAGAGCATTTGAACGTTAATCAAAAGCTGGTATAAAGATTAAAAAAAAAAAAAAAAAAAAAAAAGGAAAAAAAAAAGGAAAAAAAAGTCTGTGTTTAATCTGGCACGTTGCTCAAAAAATTAGCAAAATAAAGTCACTTTGCATAATTTGAAGCTTCCTACTGTTTTGTTGATATAGCTCTACTCCCACCAAAACCAACAAACAAACAACAACAAAAATAACAAACAAACCAAACCAAAACAACAACAACAAAAAAAACTCACGAGTGATAAAGGTTGGGATTTTAGAATAAGGTCTCTTGGCCAGGTGAAGGAGAGAAGACATCACTGAGAAACCGTACAGTGGTTGGTGTCAAATATTTGTTGCACGTTGCAAATGTGGTGATGCATTGAAACCTACAGAGCTGAAGGTACTTCAGTAGCAAACTACATCAGTTCATATTTCATAGAATCATAAAATGGTTTGAGTTGAAAGGGAATGTTTGATTAAATGGAGACATTTCAGGTATATAAGAGTTTTGTCCTCATTTGCTTGCGTTTTTGTTAATGAATGTTGACTTAATACTGGTAGCATGTCTTTCTGCACATGCAATAATCTTCCTCTGCTATTAATTATTTTATGCCAGTTGCTTCTTACAGTCAAGATTAATTAACCACTTTATATGAATCCAGAGAAGTCAGATACATATATGTGTATATATATGTATACTTTCAAATTGTGTTCTAAGTGGCTTAACTGATACAATTCAAAAATCTAGTATTGCAAATGTGTCAGTGTTTAGTCTCAGTAACTGTTTTACTTTTTACGTCATCTTATACTAACTCATAGATCTAGAGGCTCATGCTTTTAAGCAGTGTTGTGCTTTATCAATATTTTGTGTGTTATATGAAATGTCATGGTGATTATGCAGCCTCAGAGAACAGGGTCATGAAGTCTTAATGAATTAGTTATAAATCTATATGAAGATGGCCTCAGCTTGCTCAGTAACAGTAAAGAAATTTACTGTTTTAACCCCCTCTTTTAAGGGGTTGCTTGTGTCATTGGACAAAGTCAGTTATGTCTGTGCTGACACGATGAATTAGAAAAGTGTGACTCTTGCTCATTTCTTGCACATTTCTGCCCTTTTTAATTAAATGTCTAGAAACTCAGTCTGATGTCAAGTGTTAACTTCCTGCAGTGTTGTGTCATCCAGAGAAAACTAGAAACAGCTGTGTCCAAAGGAAAAGACAATATGAAGTGACAACTTATGCTGGCCTGCAGGAGTTTGATCACATTAATTCCCTAATGGAGAAGCTAATGTATGTCACCACTCCACCATGTGTAATCATCTCAGACTGGAGAGAATAGTATTTCCTCCAGCTGAATAAGTTTTGATCAATTCTCAAAATGTTACTGCAACATTCATTTTTATCTGTGACTGGTAAAGAACTTTAATTTAAATATTACCACTTGTTGTTTTCACTTCACAGTTTTAAAGGAATTCAGTGAAGTGAAAGTGTAAATGATATAAATGATAAATAGATAATATTAATTCAAAGAGTATCAGTATTTGTCATGCTTCAAGAACCTGCCACATACCTATGCCTAAGCAGCTGCTCAGCTCTTACCTGAGGCTTTGGGATTAAAGTAGCCAGTGGTCAACCTTACTCAGCAAATTTTTTCTTTCCAACATAGCTAGTGGGTTACTGTGATTAATGCAATGAAAGACTTGCACCTTCTGGTTCCAACTAAACATGCAGCAACTTGAAGTTCATGTACACACTTATATAAGTGTGTACAAACAAAATGGCTGAAAGAATAACAGATATTTTCTGCTTGCAGGACATGGTTATACTATAAGAACTAAAATGCTGAACAAATTATATGAAATTAAATTTTATTAATTGTTTTCATTATTACTAGTCAGTGTGTACCTGTATAGATTTGTGAATGTATAAAGCCAGAATGCCATTTCTGTTACCTGCACAGTTCCAGTTAGACAACTGAAGAAAAGTACTATATCATCAGTTTTCATCTGAATTTATGGTGCTCAAGCAACTGAACATTTATAACACTTAAAAGGCAAAGATCATTAAATGTAGTTATCCAGTGTCTTTGCATGTACCTACGCAAAAAGCTCTTTATGCTTCAGGCACTCACAAAACCACTGCCCGCATTCACCCCTGTGAATAAAAGCATTATATATTGATGGAAGATCTTTGCAAAGGAGTCCTGATTATCTTGTGTAGGGTCTTGCTCATACAGTAAGAGTTCTTCCACAAAATTTGGCCTATTTTCACTTACATGTAGACATTTTAAAAACATATTTTACTTTCAAGCTTTTTATTGCATCATGAATCAAGTCTTTAGGACAATATGAATCCCATTACAAAATGTTGACAGTTTAGAGTAAAAGGGGATGATTTTCCATCTATTGTATTTATCATCTCTTTCAAGGTCACCTTAAAAGAATTATGGTCACAGAATTTCTAGAAGCTTTAAAACTTTGGTCCATTTATTTAAATCTTTTATCAAATTGTTATTGCTTTTTCATTATGCAGGTGGAGATCAGTCCCACAAGAATCATGCAAATCAGGAAAGAATAGTGTAGCCTGTAGTAATCTTCATCTGAATCCTTTTGAACAATTTATAGACTACAAAGTAGTTGATTCTTACAAAACCTCTTGTGGCAAGTTATACTATTTACTTGTCCATAAGTGGTTGTTTTCAAAATCATCCAGCAGCTGGTTCTAATGAAATTGAAATTCACATTGATTTCCACTGTTTTATGCATGTAGACAGGGCTAAGCTGCACCTGGCTTTAGAGAGGACTGAAATAAAAATCGAAGGACGACAAAATGAGAATTACATTTGAGCTGCTTTCTAGTTTCTGTTCTCCTCAGTAACCTGAGGTCTACGGCTAAAACAGGTTTTTAGTACAAAACACTGTTTATGTTTAGTTCACATAGTCTGTAGTCTCTCTTTTTTGTCACAAGAGGAAGAAATCTAACTCTTCAAAGGCTATTTAGATATCTGTTTGGTCCATGTCATTTATATCCATTCTGGGCTTTGTCTGGTGCTATCTCAGACCTTCTATGGGGGTGTATCTCAGCATTTTCAAGCAGTAATTGAAGAAGATCTCCAAGGATCATCTAAGTTATAATTGCCAGTCCTGAGAATGTAGACTTTCTAGCAGGCTTCTTTTTTGTACTAGGCTGACTTGAAATATGAACCTGTAAAGTCATGAAGACCAAGCACCTGAAAATATTTAAATTTTAGTTGTTACACTTCAAAATCATCTGGATAGCCAGTAGGAGACAATACAATGAGAGAAATTTCCCCAGGCCTGGAGTTATGTGAAGAGTGAAAGCAGAAAGTGAATTATACATAAAACACTTCTACATGAATCAAAGAGAGAAAGGGGAAAATGGTGAAAAACAGGGAGTACAGTTTCACCCTTTTCTTCTTTTCTGAACACAGGTGTTCAAGGTTTCCATAGAAACTTGAACATAGTCTGATGGGGGAGGGAGGGCGCATAACACTTCCTCCATTTCTGTTTAAATGCCATAAAAGCAATGGAAAGACTGATATGTGGTTTCTGGTTTGCATGATTAGGCCAGCTATATCTGCAAAGAACAGTCACTAAAACCAATGAATCTATTGAACCTACATGTCACTAGAAAAATTTAAGTTATAAAACAAACCTAAGAGGTATCAGGAGTTAAGATTGAGTTTGTCTTTCATCTCAGTAGGTGACACACTTACATTATATTAGTTAAATGGATTCCTTGTAATGTGTGTGTCTACAATTTTCACTATGTTTATGAAAAATTAATATATTTTCCCTTTAAGGAACATTTCTGTAATTGTTTTGGTCTTTCTGCAATACCTAATGTTAGCTAAAAAATTGTGTGTTTATTAGAGTTCTTCTCTATCCAGTGAATAATACCTAGAAAATTGATAAAAATTAGCTGAAAATAGGCTATGTAAAATGAGATACGTGCCAAATGTGTTGTTCAGAGCTGGTGTATACTTTATTTGTTCTGAGGCAGGCTACACATAGTTGTAGTTAATTCAGATGCTATCAGCCTAAGCAACTAACAGTTACTTTTACATTATCAACTCTTCAAGATATGAAATGTTTGAGAATTAAAGACAGCTGTAGATTAATGTTTTTAATACTTTGTACTTTAATAAAAAAAGTTAGAAATTAAAGGTGTTCATTCTGGATGAACATTTAGCTAAACTGTGATCTGTAGAACTCATGCAGAAAGTGCTTAGTTAAACATTAGCTTCACAACCCTTTCATAGAGATTGGGTTTGGGTGTTTCTACACATGTACAGGAGCAAAATTAACTGTATCACAAGGAAAGGCAGCTATTCCTTCATGTTAGGAAACAGGTAAGTTAAGTTCCATAGAGGGATATGAACTTAATGCTAAGAAGGTGATGACATTCCTATTCTTTGTTGCAAGGACTTCCTACACTTTTTTGCATTAACTGGTCATAGAATGAAGTGCCTTTAAATATATATATATGTATAAATATATATATGTTATATGCTAATATTATATACTAATATTATATATATCTTATATTTATATATCTTATATATATATATATTATATGTATACTTCAGTAAGTAGTGGCAGATGGGATTCCCTATTCTGAAGTGAGAGGCTACAAATGAGGAGCAATATTAGGCAGATAAATAATGTATGTTGTTGGAAGAGGGGTGCAGCATAAAAAGAGCTGCCAGGGCACTTGGCCTGTGCCAAAGCCCTAGGAATTTTGAATGACAGTGCTCTCCTAAAATCCATCATAAGGCTTAAATGCATGCCCACACAAATTTTACTCACAGTGAAACTACTGGATGTCAACTACCACATGCAATTGCTTACTCACCTACTCTTGGACGTATGTGTAATGCACAGTTCTGTTTATGGTTGAGAACAGGCTGGAAGACTTTGGGTTTAGATTTTTATTAGAACTCCAAACTACTGTAATTAAGTTACATTTAATTATAGTAAAATGAAAGTTACTTTTATTGTTGTTGACTTTCCCCCTATTGCTTATCTTTTTGTTTAAAATTCATAAATAAATAAATAAATAATTGCTGGCTGCACTAAAATGGAATAGGTGCAATTATTTCCATCTACATGCTATTGTTTATAAGGAATGGATTGGATTTTCTCTTAGGTAGAAATATACACTTTTCAAATTTTAATTTGTCTACTGAAAGGTAATAGATTACTATAAGCATATTGAATATATGAAATGAAAGTCATCTTGAGATTAAATCCAAAGTGCCAATAACATTCTCATTATTATTTAATATTTATGGGGTATGTATGTCCCATCTTTTACCTCTATTGAGGATTAACTAAAAAAACACCAAAAACATTATTATTTTAGGTTGGCTGATGTAAATCTTGTTCCTGCTTCCCCCCCTCCCCCCCCCTTTCTTTCTTAATATTTATTTGTAAAATCAAATAAGTGATTCAGCATGCCTAGATTTTGCAGTGCATATTCATATACACTGCAAAAAAAAGTAGATTACCCTTTTCTGTCTTTAGATCTAATCAACATCAGTTGGACTATTTCAATGATGGTTTTAGCATGTGTGGTCATAAAAACGGTCTCTTTTACTTCCACGCACTTTGAATCATACTATATTGGTCAGTATCTTGTAGTCTCACTGAAACAATATTTCAGAGTGTTGTTTCCTGAGTAATATTGGCAGAAAATGTCTGGCTCCAGTAGACTGGAGGCTTCAATGTTATATTGAGGATGTTGTTCTCATTGAAATTGTTTTAATTACACCTTTCATGAGAATTAAATGAATAAATATAAATTAAAATAATAATAAAAACAGAAGTAGTGGATAATTGCACTAAACAGGAAGGGAGATGCCAGATGCTAGTCATTCAGCTAACTGAACAACTGGAAATACTTAACATTGTGAGGATGAGGGCAGACAAAGATCAAATATGGTATCACAGAAGATCCGCAAAAATCAGACTAAAAATATCTGTATGATAGCAGTCCTGATACTCGCTAATCTGATAAGAGTTTTTGTTTAATTTGTTAATAGAAAAAGAAAAAAAAAAAAAAGGAAATATGAAAGCATAACAAAAATATAAGAAAAAAGAATAAATGACAATTCACAAAATTTTTACAAGTATCAAGTGAAAAACATTGCAGTCACAGTTGATAAGGAAAAACGTTAACTTAAATGTCTGATACTGAAATTGCCTCTTAAAAGGTATTACCTTTGGTTGACATTCCTAGAACTTGACACTGTCATTGTCTTGGATCATCTTTTGAAGATCTGAAATGCACAGTTAAAATATTCTCTTAATGTGCATCAAGTTTAAATAGACAAAAAAACATACATGTGCACAAGAATTTCTAGATTATATATTTTGTATTTATGCATACTTCAGTATGCTTCCATTAACCAAGAAATTGTCTTCTGTTTAGTTTGTATATTTTATAAAAGAAATAGGCTTATTTTATTTTAAACGTAGCAACTTCAACTCCCTTCTTCATAATGAAATATGGTTTTACATATATATTTATTTGATCTTCATATATCACCATGCACAGAGTAAAAGACCTGAGAGTACAGGTCAAAATCTGTAGACTGGTAGTATTTGCCCATTCCTTGATAGCAGACAAATTCAATGACATGAATACATCATATGATTGGCATGGCAATCTGTTTTAATCATTAGAAGTGTATGATCATTCAATTCCTTGAAAAAGCCACTGAACTTGTTTTGGCTTATTTTGCCAAATTTAAGCCTTGAGTAATTAAATAAACAAATAAATTAATAAAATAAAAAATCCTTTATCATTGGGCTACAGCTAATTTGGACTCATGAAGTTTCCATAAATTTTGTTTCCCTAATAAAGAAACACTTGGGTTCTAAAGTCCTTCAGAATGTTAGGACCTTGTTTTATAGACCTCTGGTAGTGAATTTACTGCCTGGTTTAAATCTAAAAAGTCCAGCTGTTTCGAGTGTTGAATTCTTAATGACTAAAATATTGGATTTATTTAGTCATGATAAATAAGACAGCATTTGTAGCATTAGAGGAGAATTAATTTACCAATCTATAATAGTAGGCCTCGATCCCACAATTCAAATTTATGGAGGCCATTTATGTGAAAGTCAATGCCAGCATTCTACATCATTAAAATGAACAATATGATCCATGGGATGCCAATATAACAGCTCTTCAGGACCTGAAAAATTTACTAAGAGACTTTCAATTTACTCCATTGTTAAAAATCCATGGAAACCACTTCCAGAAAACTCCTGGATATTTCTACTTAATGATGGGGCTACTGGTGTTTGAATTCACAGACTAGTGCATCTAAGTTATACTGCTTAGTTAAAAAATAAATAAAAACTAAGTGGGGGGAGGGGGCACAAAAACAAGCAAATGAAAAATAGACTTTATGGTACTTACATAAACTAGGCCAAGATACATCATTATCACATTGGTAACAGATGTCACTTGATATTTTGCTATCAACAATGTGATAGAAAATTATTGATACACTGCTTTCTTCATTGTAACAGAATTTTAGTTTGACCAATCTTAATGCTGATTGCTGTGTATTAACTAAAAAACGTATTTCTATATAAATATAATATGGTTACATGATACTTCATAGAATTAATATTGAAAAAGTGTTTTTCCAAACTGACATGATTAATGAGATCCTTGAAGGGAATGACACAGTTTCATTATTTTTATAACCATTGCTTTCACTGAACAATATTTTTCAAGTCCCTAGATATCTTGGGATAAGTTTACTCCCTTGGAACTCTGTAGCTGAAATGTGGTAAGAATATCTCCGAGCATATTTTATTGTGATCACATGAACAGAGATGAAGACTTGAAGAAATAATACGTGCATGCACATTTCATGGACATTTCATATAAAAATATGGACATGCCACTATCTGAATAACATCTCTTTTAAATGAAGGTCTGAATCTCTCAATGGAATATTGATGTTACTATTATACATGGAAGCTTTTCTTCTAATTATTGCCTTCCTCTTCTTTTGATGTGCAATAAGATTAATGTCTGTAGGCAAATTTGCTGTGGAACATGTAGGCAGTCAAACTGAAAACTAATCATGCATGTCTCTTATATTCTCTTGTAATAAATGGTGTATTTTTTACAGTTACACAGAATTTAAAAATCCTAGGGTATTATTCATTACCAGATATCACCAGATATTCATTACCATATTGTCATTACTGATGTTCTGTTGTGACATCTTCCTCTATTGACTGAGCCACATTTTATGTGGAGATTTCTCTCTTCTCTTTTCTTTACAAGTCCCCCACCCCCTTTTTTTTTTTTCACCACATAAAACAATAGAAACTTCTACAAAAAAAAAAAAATTTTTTTTTTCAATGCATCTATTATATGTATTTCTGAGGAATTAAAAACAAAAGGTGTACATTATCCAAGGCATTGGAAAAAAAAATTAAGCATGAAACACATTATATAAATTTGGGATTCATTAATTCTGTTTTTTTTTTTTTCCCTTTGAGAAGCAAAAGTATGTCTCAATTATACATCAAAGGACTGTATCTATTCTAAATATTTTCCTTCATCTAGTATGTGTTTTATATCAGTGGATAATTAATAAAGCCACAGGCAGGCTGATATAGGTGATACCTATAGCTATGGTGATTATCTATATCAAACTGAAATCAATTGTGTTGGTACTTTAAAATTTTTACATAGCTTCTGGAACAAGAATTCTATTTTTCTAAAATAAAAATTGATTTAAGTTATGTCACTGATTGTATTGTAAATTGTTTGGATATTATTTCAGTAATAAACACTAATATCTGTGTTTGCTTTAGCAAGTTTTCTGGAGGCACCAAATGAAATAACAAAGAAAATATTAAAATTGCAGCAGTTATATCTGTAATTCTTAAAAGCTCAGAAGTTTAAATTCCATGAGAATAGCTTCCAGGTGCTATAATTTTGAAGACAGAAAACAGTTAATATGAAACTTGTATTGCAATTTTGTAACAGTACCATCAGTCACAAACCTTTTTATATATGTATCGGACATTTTACATATGCAGAATTTATTTTTGAGCCACCAGATCTCTGATTAGACGAATTATTTAACTGTTAATTTGACAAAACTTTAAAAAGATGAATATAAACATAACTAAGGTTGTTGGAAAAAAAAAATATTGGAAGGCTGTAAGACAATCTTCTCTCTGTCACTGAGTTAGAAACAAACAAACAAAAATCCTCCTTCCAAATTCATTAATATGTACTTATATTACATATAAATATTACTTAGTAAGAGTTATAGCTAGATTTAAGGTCAGACATAGGTCTTACCTGGCATGCAAAACTAGGAATCAATCAGAATTTTAGTGATGATAGATATATTCATATGAATGTTTTCCATAACTTGTTCTTAGATAGTTCCTGGAGTTTTTTAAGATATGTATATATTTATGTTACCCTACCTAGATTGTTGCTTTTTTCACTGATATAGCATTTTCTGGCCTGAAGGACCACATTAATTAAATTTTGTCTGGACTACAGGTGTTTCACCATTTAGAAAAATAGAAAATTACATGTAGACTCAAGTGATCCAAATGGAACATTTTGCGGACTGAATGGCAGATTAGTAGAAAATGGAAGGGACAGACACAGTTATTATTTTTGAAAATCCATCAGAGCCACACAACTTGTTGAAAGGCGGGCCAGGCTCCTAAATTGCAGCAAAAATGGCACAGCTATAAGCAACCTCTAATGTGTTTCACTGTAGAGACAATATGACTGATAGTCAGGAGTTGTAACATTATGTCCTTGACTTTGTCAGTATTTACTGTATGAGGTTGATAAAGTCATTTGACTTTTCTGCATTACTGTTTCTTTATGAGACAAGTAATTCTGATCTTTCATGGTAAAGTTCAATGAAGACTGTTGATAAAATAGTCCAAGTCTTGTGCTAAAGAATGCTTATGGTTTAGCTCTTCGATGCTTCAGACATATTTCAAAAGTATTGGAAAGGGAGCTGGAAAATTCAGCTAGCATGCAAGTGTGTGTTGATGTAAAATGGTATATTATTAACTGCAATAATCATTAGATGAGTTTCACTTTGAAGAACAAAATACGAACATGAAATATTTTCTCCCATTATAAGAAAACTGAGATTGATGGCAGAATATCAGGATCCCACCAAGGTAAACTGGAAAATAAATAAATAAATAAAAATATAAAACTCATAGTAAAGAACCCAGTAAACCTGCAGGTGATTTTTATTTATTTATTTTTTATAGAAGATATTTCTAATATTATTATCATTGACATGAACACAGTGCACAACAGAGAATACTGGAGGAACGTAATTATACATTTACTATATAAAGTCTAACTATTTTCTGTGCTATTACCCCAAAAAAAGAAAAAAAAGTTTTCATCCTAAAACTGCAAAATGCTTCTGTTAAACATATTTAATATTAGAAAATTATCATGTAAGATTGAATGTATTAAGTTGAGAGAAATTATTATGCTTACAAATGTTTGAAATGAGAATGCCTGAGTCCACTTTGTGTTTCTATCAATGCTGGCATATGCTTGTTTTAAATACTTGTTCTTCTTTAAATTTAGGGACATTTCTGCCTGAAAGTGATCTCCAGTATTACTTTTACTGATTTTATGTCTTCTTGTGAACAGAAAATCCAAATTAATGACAGCAATGGTTTTGTGAAGGCAGATTAGAACTAATAAGGAAATTGATTAAATGTTCAGTATGTTGTATCTTTCTTTAAATAATGGCATCTTTTATATTTAAGCCAGTCTTGTAAAGCACGTTTATTGTTTTATTCATATCCTGATTTATTTTTTGAATTGTTATTATAGGATAGATATTCAAAATCCATCTACCTCTGTACAGATGTATAAGTATGTAACGTAAACCTTTTACAGTGACCATGTTTTAAATTCTTCCCCTATAAGTTGGATAGGAGGACAGACTATGGTTATCTTGAAAGTGTTTTGAAGAATACTCATGAGCCTACAGCTTTTACATTCTTAAAATCCCATTTAAACTTTTCTTATTTTTATCTTTAACGAAAAACTTTATGGAGAAGCTATGCAGGAATAGTAATAAAGAATATACTGGAGAGCATGACATTCCATTTCTGCATAGCTAGGGAGATTAATGAACATGCCTGTAGGTTGGCAACTGCTATCTCCAGTGATAAAAAATATATATATATATAACGCCCATAACTACAATACAGTCTGTCTTGCTTAGGTCAAATGTAGTGTTCCCTTGAAATAAATAGGTTTCTTTGGATTGTTTTTCTTTTTAGTTTTCTAGATACTATTATGTCAGGAATTTAATGATGTTAAAGAGTAATTCTTTTTAGCCACATAATATTCATTTAATATAACAAATGTAAGGATTAAAGTGTGAATATTCAAAATTGGTCAATTAAGATTAGATAATTAAAATATAGACGTTTAAATATGTGATCTGTTTGGGGGTATTTTTTTTAAAGAATCTCTTGAAATGAGGTAATATCTGAAATGAAACACTGCTGAAAAATTCATAATTTAGTTATGGGATGGAATTTTAAGGACTATAGAAGAAACTTGTTGCTCTAAATGTCTAGAAATTAATCAAAAAGAAAGACCTAGCTACTGGGATCAAATTCAAGCAAATATTTTAAAAATAAATTTATTATTAGACATACTTATTCAGTTTCCACAATCCTCTTGCATACCATTATTTTTCTTGTTGTTGTGTGTTTTTTTTTTTTTTCCTCCCAGTTTTCCAGACTTAATCACCATTAAAGCTGTATTCATGGAATTTATTTTCTTTAACTTTCTGTATTGTATGATCAAGATTTCTGAATGGGCCTTTAATGTCATATTCCAAAGTCCATCATACTCCTGAGCAATGATATTCCCATGTTTTTTTGGTAAACTATTCATGTTGATTTTGTTGTGAAGTCCTTTAGGAGAACCTCTATCTCTCCAAAAATTAAAAACATTTAAAATCTAATTTTTAGTATGCAATTTGAAAAATACTATTCAAATAAATAAATAAACAAACAAAACCCCACCTCCTCAAACATATTCCTATCAACTATAGTTGATTTTAATTCAGCTCAAAACAAAGCTCATAGTGTCCTGGGTGATGAATAAGGTGTTCTGGCAGGTGTACTGTGGGTGTTGTAGCAGAATAAAAAAGAATTGATATTTTCATGAACAAGACTATTTTATTTTTCCAAGAATTGGGATTTTAGTTTTAACCAAACAAACCTTTAATTTGACTAATTCTCAACACACCCACAATAGCTGGGAACTTGATTGCCCCACTTAATGTGTTATAATACAAAATAAATAATATACTTTCTTTACTTTTTCTTTCACTTTCACCGTGACAAAGCACATTACCAGACATAAAAATCCTTCTGTAATTGAAAATAAGAAAGGAAAAAAAGGGGGGGGGGGGGGGAGAAAAAATAAAAGTTACATTGAATATGTATGCAGTATGAGAAAATCAGTGAGTTTGAACACTCTTAGAAACCTTGAGAAGACTGAATAGATTGTATTGATGATCTGTTGATATCTTGCACTCAGCACTTCAACTGTGAGAATAGTAAATATTCTGTTATTACCTTCAAGAGCTGAATATTATTTTAGGAAAAAGTAACTACCTACAGCTAAAAATAATGGATGACAATTTATCTTCTACTATAGCCAAGGTCTTATCCCATAACGGTATGGAAGGGAGACTTAACATAACCAAACATATAAAAAATGACATATGACATCCAAGATGCATAGGGAAGAGAAAAACTGTATTGTAATATTGTCCTCAAAGAGGAAGCAAGAAGGAGACACAGTATTACAAGCAACATAACTTTTGCTAAAATTTTATTTTATTTTATTTTATTTATTTATTTATTTATTTATTTTCCCCATGAAATCTGGCATATCGTTTACAGAGTTGGGTGCCAAGATGTGAATTTATTTGCTCCACAAGGATTTACAGGCAGTGCCAAATTGTTATTACCAAACTTTACTTGGTTGCAAATAAACAAAATACTTTAGATCAAATTTCCCCTTTTAATTTGATTAGTTACTAGACATGCATAAGATAGTTGAATAAAGCTCATATGTTAAAGCATAGAAAAATAGCTTGTACAACTACTAAAGAGTATAAGTAAGAAAAAAAATCTTCACTATTCCTACCTCTTAAATTTTCTCTTGGTTACTAATACTTGAAAACGTAATATGGAAATGCACAACTCTTTTGTCTCAGGTTTCTTTCTAAGTGCTGTCATTACTTCTGCCTATGAAAAAAGTACAGCATTCTTGCTGTAGGGTTCTTATCACAAAAATCAATCAGCAGGTGTGACAAAAACAAACAAACAAACAAAAAACCTCTGAACAACACAGTACATTACCACAGCAAGAAATCTGTGCTTGATTCCCATTCCAAATTTTATGAGAGGAGGAAGACCCCAGCCTGCCTAGTCAGACTGAGCTTTCCTTGGTAGCAGCTTTTGTGGTATTCATATCCAGGGCTGTACTCATGTTCATTCAGTTTGATGTTTGGTACCTGACAGCAGCTGCAGTCATCCGGAGGAGATGCACTGTATCCTGCTCTGCTTCAGCAAAAGCAAAGCCGGCCTTTTCCACCACAGCCACTGAGCTTGGCTCTCCCTGTGGGCTGCAGCCAGCGTGGTTATTTTCTGTGCTGTCTGAACACTGTTTTGTGTTCTGGCCTGCACCTGGCCAGAATGACTCAGAACCTGCCAAATGACTCTGAAAGCTGAACCAGGAAGGAGTGGCTTTGTTGCACTCACCTCCTATCTCTGCAGTTTGCCCACACTTTCCCCAGAGCTTAAACATAGCCTTGTTACGATCTGTGCTTCTTCTCAACTGGCAGCCACCTCTGTGACAATGTCCCCACAGCAATAAAAAGATCACTAACACATTTGATGTTCAGATGGAGTGCTAAACTACAAGAAAGAAAATATTAAGCACAAACATCCATAAATAATATGTGTGATGCAGTTACGCAGTTTGAAAGGCACAAGTTAAGAGCACCAGGGCTCACACACAGCAGTGTTTGGCTGTTAGCATCTTGGCTGGGCAAAACCATTTGAAGGCAGGCACAGGCAGCCATCACCTGGAGACCCGGCTGGGCAGCAGGGCTCAGCCATCACACCTAGGGAGCCCTGGAGAGGAGCCATCTGAGGTCCCATGACAGCCTTGGCCTCAGCCCCTGCACACTGCTAACTCCCAGCCCTCCTTCTGGGTGCAAGGCTCAAGATGGGTGGGGTGAGGAGGCACAGGTGTGCTGAGGAGAGGTGAGGTGCAGTGGCTATTTTGTGGAGGTGAGGGGAAGGGGTTTCTCTGGAGAGAGACGGAGAGATGCTTCTGAAAGTCAGTAAGAGGAAGGGAAACATGAGCAGCAGTATATAGGTAGAGGGAGCTTTAGTTTTGAAAGTTTTATTTCTTGTTATGAGGAAGTTCAAATATTTTTAATATTTGTTGTATTTCTAAAATACAGTGTAGCTTTTGAGACTAGAGCCCTTTCTTAACACGTTTGCTTGGAGTAAAATGTGCTGACTGGCTGGTTACGTTCAACTCAATGCCTAGAGTTTCCCCCCGTGAAGTGAGGTTGTGGTGCTGCACTTCTAGCAGTCTATGTGTGCCTATTTCTGTCTCCCTTGCCCTCCTTTCTAATAGTGCGTTTGGAAAAATGGTCTGTGGTTGTAGGTTATCAGTAAATGCTTCCTAGGGTTGGAATCCCCTTTGTTGGGGTCCATAACTGTGCTTAAAATGAATTTTATGTTTAACTGCTCTCCTAGAGGACAAACTTTGGAGGCCAGGAGATTTGCAGCTTGGTAAGGGAAGCTCTGTAATTTAGTTTTATAATGTATTTGTAGCAACTTTGTAGAGCAGAGTGGGTTTGAACTGTGGGGTGGCTATATTAAATAAATCATGCCCAGCTCTTCAAAGCTTAGTTCTTCACTGACATCAAGCCACCTAATTTTCATTACTAAAGTGACTAAATCTCTGGGGATTTCAATAGGCAATAGCTGTAAACAGTGTATTATATGAAATACCCTAAATCCTGTGAAGGTATATCCATATTTTTTTGTTTTTCTTTCCTCTAAGGTCATTGATGAAGGAGAGTCTCAGCCAACTGCAAACGTTCCAGCAGCTCAGTTGAAGTAAAGGCTTTTAGAATATCTTGCAACTGAGGGGATGGGAGCACCAAAGGTCATGTCTGTGTGTCTTTGAGGGAGCATGGAAGGCCAATGGTAAGTTTAAATGCTTTATATTTCTTTGGTTATCCTTAAAATGAGAGTTTCCATTTTCAACAATTTCTGCAGACATTTCAATTCCAGAATTGTGGCTCTATGGAGAATAGGTAGGCAGATCTCTTCCTAACACTTAGGCCAAACAAAGCAGGTATTAAGCTCTGAAACAAAGCATACACAGGGAAAACAACAACAATAATAAACCATCTGTTTCTATATCATTCTTTGTAAATAGCTGGATGAGGAAAAAAAAAAGACTAAATTTCCTGTGTGATAGTTGAAACCCTTACATACTGTTCTTGTGGAATGCTGAAGAATAGCCACTAAAGAGAAGGAGTTTCCTATATAACACTAGTAACAATCCTAAATTTCATGAAGAAGCTTAGCTTGGTTGGGAAAAAGAAGTCTTTCGCTATTGCTGTAGGCCACTGTTATATATCATGTTATTGGAAAACAATTAAAAGATTAGCAATTGGTTGCTATATCTATTAATTTTCTCCAGAATCTTAGAGATGTACTTGATACTGTTTCTTATTCCTCTTGTTGTAAAACTTTATATGTCCTTTTCTCAAATGTTTGATGTAATCCTTTGATGCAGCTTTAAATGGTAAGACCAGTTTATTTTCCAAGGCACAGTAATAATTGAAAATATTTACATTTCTACTAGATAATCCTGTAATTTTGATGAATTGAGAAGCATTTAGGTAATTTTTGTAGCAGTATCTCCTGCTGAGGGAGAAGAAGTAGGAATGTAGTTTAACTCCTGTGATGCTGATGCTTTGTACAATATATTTCATGTGCTGCAAGATGCTGACAAGGAAGTGAGCACGTTTTTACTGAAAGATTGAGTTTTATTCAAAGCTCATGTGAAGAGAGATGTTTTAGCATCTTTTTCTTCTAGATCTATGTTTAGTAAATATGTGCTGTCTAGAAGCCATAAAAACAGAACTTCATAATTTTCTTAATAATAGTATTTCATAATAATATTATTTCATAATTTGTTACTTTGAGTTTTTGAAAACTCTTCATTCTACGTTTTGGTTAGAAGTAGAGTCTACTGCTTCCTCTTAGTTGAATCTAATGGATTTAAAGCAGAAGAAAGTTTATAAGTTAGAAGAAAATATGTCTTTAGTATGAAATCTGTTCCCCTAACATTTTGAATAAAAGATATTCAGTCATTTTCATTGTACTCTGGCAAATAAAGTGAAGTCATAGCTGATCTGGCTTACAAAAGTATCTGATAGTCTGTTTCCTTTTTCACTTCTGAGGATTGTGGTACCATAGTAAATATTATTGTCAGGTTAAAAAAAAAAAAAAGTATTCATTATGAATACTTTTACATACATTGAGAATGTATTTGACATACACTGACATAGATAGACAGTTAGCAAATAATGGTAAAAAATAAAATACCTGACCTTTTTAGAATGGATACTAATATTTATTCAGGATGGTTTCCTAGCCAAGAGTTTCCTACTGAACAAATTAGGTTAACAAATTAGTGCCTTACAAGTCAATTAGCAATTTCAGGCCACTGGTAAGCAGTCAATTAGTGCTCTACTGCTTCTGTTCTATAGCAGGAGAAACCAATTCGTAATTATCACTTCTCTGTTCTATTTATGGCTATGAATATCTATGACATAAAACAATTCTGTATGGGTTTGTCAAACAGATAAAATTTAAAATAGTTCTTGAAATGCAGAAAGAGCATTGCAAAATAGTTTAGGGTTTTGTTGAATTGGTTTATTTTTTGCCATATAGGAACAAAATGAGATTACTACTTATAGAAATATACTTAATTTTTGAATTGGTGTAATTGATGAAAAAATCTTTAAACAGAAAGAGGTGCGATTGCATTCTGGGAGAATTAACTTGGTCTACTGGGGATATGAATATGATCCTGTGCACAACCTAGCTTTGGTATGGATTGATTATAGAACCTTGTTAAAGTGGTAAAACAATAATATTCCTTCTCTTTACTTATGTAATTTTTCATTCTGCATCTAGAACTTGAGATCAGAGGAGCCCTGATGGTAGTTGGGATAATTCCAAACAGACTGCTTTGTTTTGGTACTTTTAATGATTGGACTGAAGGTGACAGGGAATGGCTATTGGAGCTTTTCCCATGGAGCTTTCTTGGGTTCTTTTCTGATGCTTTTGTCTATTTTTGTCATTTCAGTAGCTCAGATAAAGTCCTAATGCAGGAGAGGTACCATGTCACTAGAGTAGTGCCTTTTCCTTTTATTTGTCTGTAGAGTAACCACTCTACACTGTGATACAGACAAGCTGCTGCTGTTACCACTCAGTTTAACTGTTGCTTATGTCTGAAGAAAAAAAGTGACTTTCATGGCAAAAAAAAAAAAAAAAAAAAAAAAAGATACAGAGTTTTCAGCTTTGCACAGAATAGGTGCAGTCTGCAAGGCTAGTCAAACAGAAGCATAAGCATGCGAGGACTTCGAATTTACTTTCACAACTGTATAAGATGATCATGGTCTCTGGACCTCCAAGATGCAATTTATGACCCAAAGAAAATAAACGTTTAAAACTGTTACAGAAGACATAGAATGTGAGTTTATTGGGAGATCCAACATTCTATGTGGATGAGAGAAAAAAAAAAGGCATAGAGTGTGTCTGTATGTGTACAGATGGCATGTCATGACTTCCTATTATATGGAGTACCTATATCACTACTTTGTGATCAATGTGTATGGACACTTTTGGCAGAAGGTGGATTGCTGCAAATTTTCGAAATACCACATATCCAAAGTAAACTGAAAAATCTAGGAAATTTGGGGAACTCTCTCTGAAGTATTCCAACAGCCTATTTCTGAGCACCCTACTCTAATTGTTGTGTTAATGTGGTCTTCTGTGAAGCTGAACATTCCCAAACGTTCCCCGTTCCCCGGGGTGCTCGTGGAAAGGACTGTTGAGAGAAGGTAGTCTGCCTCTCACAGCTGCCAACATCTGAACTGTGTCTTTGTTCCATCCCTGCTTCATGTCAGGTAGGGTCTTGCAGATGCACCCTCCATCTTCTTTCTGTGGTTGATCAGTTGGGAGTGGAAATATGTTTCAGCTATGTCCCCAACCAGGAAAAATCCATCCTTAAGGCACATTGCTTAATGCTGCATAATGTTCTGGCAAGCACTGTGACCAGTAAGTGAGAGGATATATGTTGTCTTTCTAGAACAGAAAGAAAGAAAACAAAGAGAAATTATGGTTTGAATAGTTTTAAATGCTAAATGATTATGATTATTAATATTTTAACTTTAATAACCAAAATGAGTATTTTGAGCTATTGGAAAACGAGGGGTTACCTTTATACCTCTTCTATTTAAAAAGAATGTTTTCCATGCTGTATTGTGCCAACTGGGAAAAGTAGACTGTTATAATAAGCTATGGTCTTGCTGAAGTAACTGCTAGAACTCATGACTATTATTATTAAAAGAAAAGTTATAAACAGAACACAAACAATGAAATACCCATACTGCACTTAAAGCATATCTGAAGGTAGGTAATTCTGTTTAGGGAATGCCAAAGGAACCCTACTTACCCAATCTCATATAGTTATCAGTGACATGGAGAGTTTATACACGCAAGGGGTATTACACAGTACCTGAATTTTCTCTTTAAATTTTGTCTGAGTTTTTTAAATTGAACAATCTGCCTTTAGCCAGGAAAATGAATGAATATTACACTGAAATCTTGTACTAATTAATAGTATATTCAAAATTAAATTTGTTGTTTTTACCAAGTTCTTCTCTTAGGATATACTGTCAAAATCCTCTCAGTTTTTAACAGAGAGGCAATTATCTTAAATTAAAATTCCATTAAAATCTTGTTGGATGAGGGGGAAGACTATAACTTAACTCTTGGTGGTGCTTTTGTTCTACTGTCTGCTAATGCCAAAGGCCTGGTGGTGTCACTGTGCCACAAAGGTAGCTGTATCTCGGGATGGTACCCTAGTGATGCTGTTTACTTGTTTGAAAGACTGATACCAGAAAAGAATATTAGAGGAAGAGCGTCAGTGAAGTTGATGAATTGCAATGGAGAATATGCTGCATCCTCAATACAGAGGGTTTAAATGATCCATTGCTTGCTATATAGTATATCTCCCAGTAATATCTAAGAAAGAAATGTTATCTTTGTACAATTAAGATATGTAAATGAATTAAAGTTCCTTACATAGGGCTATCTGGTGTTGGAGAAGATAAGGTCATTCAATTAAACAGCTCTCACAATTAAAATATGTGATGTTTACTCTTGCATATATGGATTTAAAGCTCCTGTCATTGAATATTTCTATATATTGTTAAGCAGTACAGCAAATAAATCAAAATACTTTTCAAGAACAATGCAATCCAGAGCTTCCAGTGAGATTTAGAGGAAGAAAGCACAGATTTATGGGAGAATAGGAAGAGGGAAAAGCTAATTTTGCTCACTGCCAATTACGGAAAACAAAAACAGCTTTTCCTAGGTCTTTGATATATTGATATACTTGCCATATTCTGATTAATTAAATATCTGAGCCAAATGTATTAAATATTACTCAGCAAACAACTAGTGTATAAAATTGTTTATGCTTACTTAAGTCATCCTTCTACCAAACCAAGAAAAAAGAAATAAAAATCCAGTAGTGAAAATAATTTAATGAGAATTTACTACTTTTTCTCTACCTAGTTTCAGCAGTGCTGATTACGGAAGAATATTAAATTAAGATGGTAGCTATTCACATAGAGTCAATCATCTTGTAGTTTGAATAAAGTAGTCTTAATTGATACTATCTGTTGTGGTTATAGTAAAACCTACAGTCAGATCATTAATGATGCTCATAATAACAGATAAAGCTTATGGACTAAATAGAACAAGAAAGAGACAAGGAACAGAGATGGAAGTGGAGGGTTGTAGCTGAACCAGAAATAGGTTTTGATTTCCCATTTCTCTGATGATATTATACTGTATTACTTCTGTACTGAGGTTTCATCTGGATTTTTGGGATACTT